CCACGCTGTTCAGGGACCAGAAGTATCAGGAGGCCGTGTTCTGCGTGGAAGTGGGTGCCTTTAGCTCACTGGCCTCGCAGGGAAAGGGAACTGTACCACCAAAAGCTCTGGGGTTGGACTACCCTGGGCACACGTGGGTTAGGGTGGGCAGGGGTCAAAGGGCAGCCCTCATGTCGAGGTAGAGACTTGGGGACCCTCCGCATCTGGGGAGCTGTTTCAAGCCGGGGGGAGACCAGGCGGGTGGAGGGCGAGCTTGCTCGGGGTGGGGGACTCACTGGAGCATCTGCAGCCTGCACTTGGGGTGCCGCAGCCCCTCGCAGAGCAGCCTCACGCCGGGCAGCCCCAGGGCGTTGCTGCTCAGGTCCATCCTCATCAAGTTCTTGTTGGCGGCCAGCGCGGCGGCCAGGTCCTGGCAGGCGGCGCTGGGCACCCGGCACCTCTTCAGCCTGGATGGGAAGGAGGAGAGAGTGAGCGGTTACGTCCTCTGGGGCCCTTCGGTGGGGTCTGTCCCTCATCCTTCCTCCCCCTCCTTCTTCTTTCATTTCTTTATCAATTTCTGAGCCAAACCAGCTAGGGCTCCCCCCCTATTTTAAGAGTTCCCACTGCATTTGATATTTGTTCATTTTAGAGAGAGGAAGGGAGAGAGAGAGAGAGAGAGAGACTTGTTGTTATACTTATTTATGCATTCACTAGAGGCCCGGTACACGGATTCGTCCAGGGTTTGTCTGGCCTGTCTCGCCCTGTCCTAACAGGCTGGACCCCAGCAGCAAGCTAACCTACCGGTTGGAGCGTGTGCCCCCTGGTGGTCAGCGCGCATCATAGCGACTGGTCAAATGGTCAAACGAATGGTTGGACACTTAGCATATTAGGCTTTTATTATATAGGACTGGTTGATTCATGTATGTTCCTTGACCTGGGGTGGAACCTGCAACCTGGGCGTATGGGGACAATGCTGGAAGCAACTGAGCTACCTGGCCAGGGCTGGTTCAGTTAAAATGAGGTCATTAGAATGAGACCTGGTCCAATAGGACTAGAGAGAGACCAGGACACAGACACACACAGAGAGGGACGACCCTGTGAGAAGACAGGGAAAGACGGCCCCCTGCAAGCCGAGGCAGGAGGCCTCAGGAGACACCAACCCTGCCAACACCTGGATCTTGGACTGCCAGCCGCCAGACTTGTGAGAAATGCCTTTCCGTTGAAATGCCTTTCCATTGTTTAAGTCACCCGGACGATGGCCCTTTGTGACGGCAGCCGGAGCAAAGTCACACACCGTCCTGAGTTCTTTTATGACAGAGAGCCCCATGCGAGGGCAAGGTGGGACCCCCCAGGAGCTCCCAGACCAGTTAGAGACTCACCTCAGATTCTGAAGTTTGCAGTTGGGGTGTCTGAGCCCTTGACACAGCAGCTTCACCCCCTGGCTCCCCAAGGCATTGTGGTGCAAAGCCAGCTCTATCAGATTCGGGTTGGAGCTGAGAGCGGTGGCCAGCTGGTCGCTGTAGGCGTCTGGCAAAACGTTCCTCTCGGGGCTGCATGAAGGAACTACGGGTCAGTTCAGTTTTTGTTTTTGTTTTTTTGTTTGTTTTAAATAAGCTTGGTTTTTAAAAAATATATCTTTATTGATTTCAGAGAGGAAGGAAGAGGAAGAGAGGGAGAGAAACATCCATGATGAGAGAGAATCATGGATTGGCTGCCTCCTGCAAGTCCCCCAACTGGGGATCGAACCCGGAACCTAGGCATGTGCCCTTGACCAGAACTGAACCTGGGACCTTTCAGTTCGCAGGCCGACACTCTATCCACTGAGCCAAACTGGCCAGGGCTCCATTGATTTTTTAGAGAGAGTGGAAGGGAGGGGGAGAGACAGAGAGAGAGAGAAACATCAATGTGAGAGAGATACATCGATTGCTTGCCTCTCCTACATGCACCCCGACCAGGGAAGGGGATCAAGCCTGCAACTGAGGTATGTGCCCTTGACTGGAGTCGAACCCGGGACCCTTCAGTCCTCGGGCTGATTGATGCTCTATCTACTGAGCCAAACCGGCTAGGGCTGGTCAGTTCAGCGTTCCCAGTCCCTTTACAATGATTATGTTTGGCACTTGGTCATCACTTCATAATTTTGAAAGCATTCTGTCGCCTTTATTTAAATTTACCTCCTGAATGGCCCTGCATTCCTTGCCCAAGGTCACATAGCTGGTATGTAGCAGAGACCAGAGTTAAATCCTGGGACTAGGGAGGGGAGATGGATTTCATCTTAAAGATAATTTTTTTTTTTATGTTGAGGTAACATCGGTTAATAACAGTATATACCTTTCAGGTGTACAACATTATGATTCGCTATCGACACACTCTATGGCATCGACGGCACCAACAGCCAAGTTTCTGTCTGTCACCATGTACTGGACCCCTTTACTCATTCACCCTCCCCGGCCCCCTTCCCCTCGGGTGACCACCATACTGTTGTCTGTATCTATGAGGTTTTATATATATATATGAGTTTGTTTTTGTTTTGTTTGTTCCTTTGCTACCTTTTTGTTTTATATTCCGTATAGGGGTGAGATCATATGGTATTCATATTTTTCTGTCTGACTTTTTCCACTTAGCACAATACCCTCAAGATCCACACACGTTGTCACAAATGACAACATCACCTTTTTTTGTGGCTGACTAGTATTCCATTATACACTGAGTGGCCAGATTATTATGACCACCTGACGTCTGTAGGCAAATTAGCTATAATTTCACGCTGAAGTTGCCAGAGGGCCAGACCATTATAAATACAGAAGCAGGTTGTTTACCACGACAGTAGAAGTGACTTTTTCCTGAAGGTATGGGTAAACCATGCGCTTTAACAGCCTTTGAACGTGGGATATAAATATATATCACCTCTTCTTTTTTCTTTTTCTTTTTCAAAATATATCTTTATTGATTTCAGAGAGGGAGGAAGAGGAAGAGATAGAAGCATCAATGATGAGAGAGAATCATTAATCAGCCGTCTCCCTGCAGGCCCCCTATTGGGGATTGAGCCAACAACCAGAGCATTGGCCCTGATCGGGAATCAAACCTGTAACCTCGTGGATCGACACTCAACCACGGAGCCACACTGGCCTGACTCTTCTCTATCTATCTATCATCTATCTATCTATCTATCTATCTATCTATCTATCTATCTATCCATCCATCCATCTGTCTATTTTATTGATTTTTAGAGAAAGAAACATCAATCGGTTGCCTCCATACTCACCCTACTGGGGATTGAACCCACAGCCTGGGTATGTGCTCTGACCAGGAATCAAACCCACCACCTTTTGGTGTATGGGATGACACTCCAACCAACTGAGCCACCCCAGCCAGGGCTCCATTCATTTATTGATGGACAAGTGTCTGGATAATATTTCTTTTTTTAAAAAAAATATATTTTATTGATTTTTAGAGAAAGAAACATCAATCGGTTGCCTCCATACTCACCCTACTGGGGATGTGCCCGCAACCAAGCTACATGCCCTTGGCTGGAATTGAACCTGGGACCCTTCACTCTACAGGCTGACGCTCTATCCACTGAGCCACGCCGGCCGGGCTGAGTAATATTTCTTGATTGAACACAATCTCCTTCACGTAGGCCCCAACTTAGTCCTCATGGCTATTGTGTCAGAGGAGAAAGCCAACCGGGATACTACTGACATGGGGCAGCCAGACCACTTTGTTGTGGGGCGGCCCTGTCCCAGGGGGGTGTCCGCCAGCCTCCCTGCCCTCTTCCCAGGAGATGCAGGCAGCGCCCCTCCCACCCCCCCCATTTCCCCAGGGTCATCACCACCAAGTATTTCTCCAGATGGTGCCAAGGATGCCCTCGCTGGGGCCTCGTCACCCCCTGGCTGAGAACATGAACTTGGTTAGGAGCCTGCGCTTGGACAGCCAGTACTTACGATGGTGCCAGTAGCGTCTGGGCCCCCGATGCCCGCCTGGCCCCCTCCTCCTCCTCTTCCTCTTCCTCCTCCTCGTCCGCCCGGTAGGCGGCCCCGTGCAGGTGCAGCACCAGGGCGTTGGCGCAGTGCTTCAGGCAGAAGGCGGAGACCGCGTGCTCCATCTTGGTGGCCATGTTGCTGACCACGACCACCTGGAAGTGGCTCAGGGCCCGCCGGATGAAGGCCTCCTCCTGGATCTCGTAGAGGCAGCTGAGCAGCTCCAGGGCGCCCTGCTGCAGCGTGGAGCCCTCGCTCAGGGCCTTGCCCCGGATCCACTCCAGCAGCTCCACCTGGACGCGCGGCGAGACCTTCCAGCCCAGCGTCTTCTCCAGGTAGCTCCTGGCCTCCGCGTTCAGGAGCCCGAACAGGAAGCGGACGGTGAGCGCCAGGGCGCTCCTCTCGGACAGCCCGTACTCGGCCAGCAGCCGGGCCAGGCTCCGCTCCGGGCCGGCCGCCCGGTCCGCCCCGTCCAGGACGTAGTACACGGCGGCGAAGAACTCCTGGAAGCTCAGGTGGATGAAGCTGTAGAACTTCTCGCAGTTGATGTCCTTCTGGAAGATGTTCATGTTGAGGAAGGAGGAGACGTCCGCCCCGTCCAGGCCGTGCCTCCGCAGGTCCTGCTCCTCGAAGAGGATCTTCTGGCTCCAGAGGCCGTCGGCCGCCAGGGAGCACAGCCCGGTCTGGTTGGGCAGGTGCTGGACCGTCGGGGACCCCGGTTTGGGCTGCATCAGGCTCAGCAGGTAGAGCAGGTACACGGCCGTGGTGGTCCGGGTGGCCTGTCTCCGGAGCCCCCCGCCCTCCAGCTGCTGCTTGAGGCAGGTGCACACCACCCAGCACACCAGGGGCACGAAGCACAGCGTGAACAGGGGCTCGTTGTCCCGCACGAAGCCGAAGACGTGGCGGGCCTGCTCGGCGTCCTGGAAGTACTTGTAGAAGTACTCCTTCCTCTCGGCCTCCGAGAAGCCCAGGATCTCCACGTGCCTGGGATACTCCAGCAGCCGCTGCAGCTTCTCCAGCGCCGTGGGCCTGGTGGTGATGAGCAGAGAGGCCTCGGGCAGCAGCTTCTTGTGGATCAGGCTGCTGAGGAGCAGCTCGGGGGGCCGCTTCTCCTCCCAGCACACGCACCAGGGGCCGCGGGGGTCGTGGAAGGAGGGCTGCAGCTCGTCGAAGCCGTCGATGAT